CTTTGTGAATATCTTAACAATGCAACTACTGTGCTTCATAAACATTTTTAAAAACGAAGAAGCTACAGGTTAGCATCTAAAATTTCACAACTTTATGCTTATCCCCCCAGAAATTATCATAATACTTCATGATAAAATTAGGTTTTGATTTTATAAAATGTTCACATCCATTGCTTTATCAAGGGTGCTGCCAAAAATTTTGTATCTCCTCAACCAAGGAAAATCTTTGACAGACATTATAACTCAAGCTTTTACACTGACCTGAATGGTATCGAGTCTTCTTTTTCAAATATACTTCTGAGGAGATCTCGACACATTTGTTGCCACGACCTCTTTACAGCTGCGGGTTGTCCTCGACCACGAAGACCTTTGCTGTGACCCCCCTTGCCCTCCCCCCGCAATCCCCCACCTCTACTTTCTCCAGTTGGATCCTCGTCACTATGATCTGGAGAGTGGTAGTTGGCTTGCAGTTCGTGGTATAGGGGTGTGGGGTCGATACACGTGTCATCTCTGTGGAATATTTATCAAAGATTAGAACAAGACAAATGAGAAGCATAAATGTTTTACCTGCTACAATGATCTTGCAACACATATCTATTATCTAAGATTTGTTCCTGGTCTTCTTCAAAAGCACCACTATTTTTATGGACAAACAAAGGAAATTAGCTCTTTCTGTTTTCTTTCTCAACTAAACCAACCTCATTCATGAATTGTAAGTCAGCCACATGAATGAAAAATTAGAAGCAGAAGTATACTTTCCCTGCTCTCCACAACATATGATCTTTTAATAAAAGAAGCTAAAAAGTGACTTTATGCCTACTTATAGAGTTAATGATCACAATCAGGGCAAAGTAAACAAACAACACAGGGCAGTCTTAATTGCATATAGTATGGAGACTTGAAACCTGGCATCTAGGCTGTGCATGTAACTGCTAGAACAGATGTTGTATGGTATCCATGGGATAACGACAAACGGGATTTCTATTATCTAAAACGATGGTAGTCGAAAAATGCAGTTCATTTTGACTCACTTGATCAGTTTCAAGCACAGTTCAGTGACAATCCTGGCTTGTCTAACAATATTGCTTCCTTTCTGATTGAATTTTTCAGTGTTGGTGGCCAGGTACCGCACATCAAACTGGACTGCATTGATACGCCGATAAAAGCGGTTGTCTAGTCTACTCTGAAATTGAGAATAAAATAACAAAGATGTTAACACCATTACAGAGATATTAAAAGCATAATGAATGGGAAAGAATGGTAGTGGATAGAGAAGAAGAAATAGCGAGAAATAGATAGAGAGACAGAGGATGAGAGGTTTAATCATATTTTATTGCTCATATTCAGCTGAAAGGTCATGGAACAGACAATCAACTTTTTTATCAAAACTAAATATTCAAGTTATGGTTATCCCTTCCTACCTGTACACATTTCAACATCTTAAGGTAATGATAAAAGCCTTTTGTATGAGACCCTTATCCTTAATATCAGACAGTAATATTGCATGTACACTATAAAGGAATGTCCAATAGTTATTATTCCCCCCCCTAAAAAAAAAAGACAATTAAATAAATAACAAGTACCTTGATGGTAGTAAGATCCATAGGGTAGTCTATGGTTAAGGCATACATTGGATATGCGTTGAGATCAACAGGGACAAGGAAGGGCTCAGCAATGGCCAGCGTCATGATGAGGGAAAGGCCATGACTGATGCGATCACATTCCTGATCAGGGTTACGCCCCGCCCACTCCTCAGACTGAGGTCGGTAGAGCAGTTCCTCAAGCTCTTTGGGCTTCACTGCAACACTACCTCCTCTTTCCATTACTTCCACTGTGGACAGAGGAAAGCTCCATTAAAGGTATAAAGCATTATATAAATGCTATCAGTAAAGTTTTTTTTTTCTCTCTATACATATTAACCCAATGGTGCTGGGCATGACATGTAAATACATGCCATGACCACTGTTTTTAATTCATTAATTGTCTTTACACATAGATGGCTCTGCAAGTGCTTTGTCACACCATGGATTCAATAATTAGTAACAACTATCTTCCCGGTTTCCTCTTTTCACTGATTTTCAGAAATATTCTCTTATATCTTACTATGCTAATCATAATAATTATGTCCATAAAGATAATAGCAATAGTATCATCAATATTGATAGCACTAGTAAAAAAAAAAAAAAAAAAAACCTGAAGGCAAATGAACACTTGTAGAGCCATCTAAGTATAAATACATTTCACAAAATAAAACTATATTACATTCTCCTGGAAGCACTGGGTTAAGGTAGCATAAATGATAAACATTTATAAATGAGGCTCTAACAATGGAAATAGAAAAAAAAAAAAAAAAAAAAAAAAAAAACATACACTCACACAAAATAATAAAAACAGTTCCCTTTTATAAGGACTATTATGACTCTTTAAAATAATTTCCTTCTAAAATGTGCTTACCTGCTGAGGTCAAACAACAAAAAGAGAAAAAAGGACAAGACCACTTTCCACTAGAGTCTCCTAGCTGAACATAAACACACACAGACACACAAAAATAAACAAACAAGGAAAATAATAATAAACGTACAAAAATAAACAAAAAAAAATTATGACAAATGATTTAATACAACCAAACTATCTCTCTAAATATCCTTGACTTACTGTTTTCATCGATGGGTTCCATATCCCAAGGACTTAATCTCTCCTCTTCTCCATTGTCCCACAAAACTCTGTAGCACATGAACATGGAGTCGGGGAACTCAGGTAGGTGAGGCTCATGGCTTTCCACCGTGCCTAACCACCATGCATCATCAATTATGCATCTGAACCTGTCACCTGTCAAGTTGAGGAAGAAATAGCATCACTCAATACAAAACTGTAATGACATACCTTACAATAATAATAATTATTGAATACTTCAGTTATATCAGTAAAATCCATTATATAACAAAAATATGACTATAAGAACTGATTAAGTGTCAATCAAGTAGAAAATATAAACACATAAATCAACATCAACATCTCTTCGACCATTACCTTTCTGCCAGTGTCTACTCATGGCATAATTGTACGTGGCCTTTAATATAAGAAAGTCAAGTACATCTGGCATGTCATGGTATTTGATGGTGAATGAATCCGAAGTGAGTTTTCCTCGACCAAGGTCCATAATTCCAAGCTTGAGGCAACAAAGTCTTGGTGGCTTAATCTCATACTTGATGCCAATAATTTTTACAAACTCTTGATCCTGTTTGGAGAGATGCCAAACAAGTTTTTAGGTTAAAAGAGAAAAAAATATAATTTCAGAGAGTTCCACATATAGTAATATTCATCTGTACATTCTACAAACCTGAAAGCTTTTGTCTTACCCTCAACTTATTTGTAGTTCTCATCCATGGGAGACTCCTTTTGTCAATGGTGTAGAGCTTTCTATTCATGACAGCTTCTACATACAGCATGTGGCCCTGCATAAAATATATGAGTTCATCTCCCATTTGTGGGAAGTATGGTGCCTTCTTGGGGAAGGTTTCCGTCAACCACTCAGGTGGACGGTACTCTTCTGGAATCTCATCGGCTGCTCCATTCAGCTCCGACAAGTTAGGTCGTGGTGCTCTCAGCTGAAATATTGTCTAATGAGTATACACAATCTTGCACAAGAATCTATAAAGATACTCAAATTCATGTTCAAAAGCCTTTACAAATTATGTTTACATCAAAACACTTCATCACTAACCTTTCTCTGTACACGAGGAGTTGAAGTAGATTTTCCTTTATCCACGTCATCATCATAATCGTCATCCTCTTCATCGTCGTCTTCTTTGTTTTCCTTGTCATCATCATCATCACTAGTCAACCTTCCTTTTCTCCTTCCCTTCCTTATGGATTTCTTCTGTTTATGAGCTGTTCTCTTGGGGGGTTCGAGGCTGAAACCTGCATCAGCTGTCCAGTCAGAGTAATCTGTGGACTGATCATCTGAGCTGGAGGACTCTTGGAGCTCCTCATTCTCTATTTCTGTCCCAGAGGAGGTGCCGGGGCTGCTGGATCCTGGTGGATTCTCTGCATCCTGTGGATTTTTTTTTTTTGTAATCAGTCATCCTGCAATCCTGCTTAGCACTTAGAAAGTAAGCAATCTCTAAATGAAGGATTTAAAGTAAAGGATTCTGATTCATGAGCCTGACATTTCATTTAAAGCATTCAAAACACACAGTTTTAGTTGTATCTTTTACAAGTACAATTAGAAATAGAAATAACATAACAATAATGACATAACTCTTTCTAGTAGTACACTCACACTTGTAATTATTATTGATATCTGAACATGAACCACTCAACAAACGTGAAAACAAACCTCAAACTCCTGGCCTTCATAGGTCCCTCTTCTGGATTCCCTGACTGAGCGTGTTGAGTAGGAATGAGTTTGTTTTTTCTGTTTTTTCCTGGTCTTCCTCTCTGCCTCATGTTGTTGCTGCTCTGGGGACTTCACTGGTTCAGGTTTCTTGCGACTCTCTTCTTCATACAAATGTAACTCGTACTCTCCAAGAATCCTTCTGTTATTGAGGTTTTGCTTGATGTTTGAGTGCTGTTGCTGGCGGATGATGATGCGACGATTCCACTTCATGTTGGGATCACGCTGCCAGTTTCCCGTTGACTGACGCACACCTTCCACGTCACCCACTCGCCGCGTTCCTGCTCGACCTGGAGATTATTCAAAATTTAAATAGATTAAAGAATTAAATAAAAACATATGTGAGTATGAGAAAGCAAGAGACATCAAATCTAACCCCTAAAACCTTTTCAGTAACACTTTTTCCCTTTTAAAATATTAAGAACTTAATGTACAAACATTCAAATACTGTCAAGCTATTACTTGGTATATGTTTAGCCTTTTTGTCTCTTTATTGGCCAAGTTTGTTTTGGCCACACCCACTAGTTAATCCCCATACACCCTTTTCCCTTTAGACACTTTTCTCACTAAATCAATCATATCTCTTTCTGTTGTGAGTGGAATGTAAGGGCTGAAATGATGGCATATTTAATGGTTACTGCAAAAACTTTTCAACTCTGATAGTCTACTGTGTACTTATTTAATAGCATAATGGTAAATAAAATAAAGAACAAAATTTTCCCAACTGAAACATAAAAATCAAGGCTATGTTTGCAAGTGAACATAAGCCGGAGGTTACGAAAGGCATTAGACCTGTAGCTAACTCACTTGCTCTGGGTGAGAGTGGGTCATGGAGAGCAGCAACAGCATAAGAGTGATCTGTTGGGGGACCTCCTGAACTGGCTCTCCGTTCCCCCCGTGCACTACTACTCTCTCTTCTCTCTCGCACGTTGCTCGGGCCTGGCTGGTCAATAGCTGCATCAGACGGTCTTCTATTGTGGGCTATTCTCTGGTCCTGTTCTTGTGCAAGCCGTTCTATCATTTCATCGATGTTTGGTCTCTGGCCACCAGGAGCCTCAGGAGCCGGAGCATTTGCAGGAGGATGCTCATAATCCTGTAGTGCTGCATCTAGCACCTCTTGATCACCTGGGAGAAAGAGTGGATGCCCAGTATTGAAAAAAATTCATGTGACACTGAAATTAATTTATCTTGTATGACTACCTAATGGATGAGGGAATAGAGCTGCATGGGTGCACAGGTTCCTTAAAAGCTAGCCCACTTCTCTTGAAATTCTAGGACTTGAATATAAAATTTGAAATATAGAAAATATTAATATTAGAAAAATAATGCCAAATGAAATATTAGAAAAATAATGCCAAAAATTAGCTAAAAAATAAATAACCCCAAAATGAGTTTTTCTCCCCAGTGATCTTTACTTCTTGCCAATTAATTTATTGATAACCATCACACATCCTCACCATTTGCATTCAATAAAACATTTGGGATAAGCTGGTCGTGTCTGCAGTTTTCTCGGCCAGGCACAAGCCTTTGGTATTCAGGAGGGTATGGGTCGCCATCCATGTTGACCAAGAATGGGGGAGGCATGAGGTGTGGTGCCATCTGAGTCTGCTCGTCCAGCACGTGGTTGTTGGCATCGCGCACAAGAGGCCGATAGTCCGTATGAAAGAAGAGCTCTTTTGGTATCTAAATGGAGAGAAAAGGGGAAATTACAATTAGGAGTAAGTAAATGCAACATTTTTGTTGCACACAGATCTCTCTACATTTCCATACAAGAATGTATACAGATCTTGTGAACAGTTCTGTCCAATATCAAGTTGGAAAGGAGGAAGCAAAAGGAGAAATCATGAATGAAAAAACAAAAAATGGGAGCAGGTAAGAGTAACTGACTCTGAAGCCACCCTTGCTACATCCCCTTGACTCTTGTGTCCACAGACCCTAAGACTCATTACACATTTCTGGTGAAAGTGCCTGTCCAATTTCATGTGAAAAGAAACTTGTAGTAAGGGAAAGAGAAGCCATGAGAGACCAAGAATGAATCAACAAAAAATGGAAAGGGTAAGCAAGAGAAACAGATTTTGAAGCCTCCCTTATTACACCTTTTTGGAGTCTGCAGACTGCAAGAGGGGTAGAGAGAATTGCTAGGGGGTTCTTGACATGCTGAGGAAAACTGCAATGACTCTGTTCAGTTTACCCTAAGTGCTAACATTTCCCACCTCCTAAAAAGTGTTCCAGTTAATTTCTATTGGTTTTAAATAATCACTTATACTGATGTTAACCTGGACTATCATTTAATTTATTATCAAAGCTTAGATATGCCTGAATAAAGAATACATCCTATTGTATAACAAGTTACATAGGGCTACATCTTATTATACCTATAACCAGTCTTGGAAGTCCTTATAATATCTTCATAGATACAAGTTCTGTGGAGGTCAAAGGGTTGAGAACCACCAATCTAATACTACAGTGGCATGCAAAAAAAACAAACTTTCTCAACAATACCTTCTTGAATTTCTCATTGTGTCCAATACCAAAGAGAATGAGATGTCCATGAGAATCTGTTGTTGCTATAGTATAACCATCAGGTGACCATTTGGCATCAAACAGTGCACCATAACCTTGGCCTTCAATGGTATTTTTAAAGCTTCTCACTAGGGTTCCTGTGCTGATATCCCAGATCATCAATTGACCTGCAATAGTACATACAAATGTAATAAGTGACAAACTGCCATGCTCTAGCTTGTGACATCTTTAAACTCTGTGAAGAATGCCTCAAAATCTGACATTTCATTATACTGTAATACATTACCTACTGATTGAGTGGATATACAAATATGGAAATCATTTCACTTAAACATATTCTCTGCATTCTGATTATAAGAAAAGGATTTAGTTAAATGTTACATTAGATAATTATTTACAACCAACCACCCAGAGGAAATAACAAAATATAAATTCTTATGCTTATTCTTTAGGAAAAACAAATAGTTAGACACTTCCTACACACTTCTTCCATAATGAAACATTACCATTACTATCAGCAACATAAATATTTTTGTCTCACTAACACAAGTAAACAGATGCATCTCAAAACAACAAATAAA